TCCTTGGCGAATATCGTAGTCTTGAGGACCCTCTGGCTGTCATAGTTGTACTCTACCGGCAGCATAGCTTGCATTCCATGTGAGAGCATGAACAACAATTGCCCAATCACAACTGATGGAGTTGTCCTGACGGCCCATAAAATGAATGGGAGTATATCCGCCCAGCTCCCCTTTGCTCCTTCCACTTTCTTCCTCCAAAGATTGAGAATAATCTTATTGCTTGCTTTTGCTTAGCCATTAGTACGGTGGTGATGGGCTGAGGAAAATTTTAGGCTTATCCCGTAGCTTTAGGAAAAATCTCTAACCTTATTGTTCGTGAAATATATTCAATTGACTATGATGAACCAATGGTAGGTTGTACCGACAGATCGGGTCAGTCCAAATGAAGTTCTAGAAAATCTTTGCAATGATCTGAGTGAGACTTTTGGCCTCGATCCACTTCGAAAAATAATCCATCGCTACCAGGAGAAAACAGAGTTGCAATTTGGAGGGTGAAAATGATTTGAGGATGTCTAATCTTTAGACAGTAAAAGACCATGAATTGGTGATTGGTTGAAGCTTATAAGCTAGCTGATATTGCAGTGGAGCGTACTCTTGACACTTTTCACATCTCCTAGAGAATGCTTCGGTGTTTTTCAGCGGTGTCGAGCAGAAATACCCCTGCCGTTGGACTCGGTGTGCTAATGTCTTTCCTCCTAATTTTCTGAAGAATGTCTTCCACCTTTTTTTTTTCTTTATGCATCTCAGGTATAACGATGTTTGCTAATTTCCAGAAAAGCTTTCCTTCTATCAACAAGTATTGAGCACCTTTGAATTTAAACCTCCTAGAATTTATGAGCTCTTCTGTAATTTCTCCGATCTCCAAGTATATAACATAGGAATCCATCCAGCTTTTAGTTTCTTTGATCCTTAATGTCATCATCTTTGTTTCCTTTATAAACGGCTAGTTGAGTTTTTTTGCGATTCCTCATGCTAATGCTTATGGATAGTAGGTCAGCCATATAGTTTTCTTCTCTGTTGACATGCTTGATCATGAACTGCAAGAATTTCTAGATCTCCACCTTTGCCTTATTAAGGTACTTGATCATCACTAGCCTCGCATTCCCTATTTATTTTATTTATCACCGACTGCGAGTCTAGTTTCACCAAAAAAAAAAATAATTGCCCTTTTTATAGGCGAGACGCAGTTTGATGATCAGGGCTTCGTAGTTTGCTTTGTTGTTTCTAGCCTCGCATTCCCTATTTATTTTATTTATCACCAACTGCGAGTCTAGTTTCACCAAAAAAAAAATAATTGCCCATTTTATAGGCGAGACGCAGTCTGATGATCAGGGCTTCGTAGTTTGCTTTGTTGTTGGTCACCTCAAACTCCACAACTACCTAGTGGTACAAGTGCTCTCCTGATAGGCTACCTAAGGTCGGCCCTAATTCTACTCTAGATTAATTTGATGCACCGTCTACTATAGGAACCATTCTTGCTGGCTAGTAGAATTTTCTTCACTCGGACTCTCCAATTCTAAAAAATCTGCAAGGAAATCTATGACCGCTTGCGCCATGATAGTCGTCGATGTATGTGATGTCAAATACGCGCAGCTCCACCACTCACTATAGTATTCCATCGGAATATTCTATCCTGGTAAACACTAACTTCAGCACGTAATTTGAAATCACTCAGATGGGATGTGTTTGAAATTAGGGTCACAACCTGCAAGCTGACATAGTTTTTCCATGGTCAAGTACCTAACCTCCGCTCCTTGGAGGATGGGGCCAATGTAGTAGACTAAAAATTGTTTCCCGACTCTTCTCTGACCAGCACTAGGCTAATTGCTTCAGCACCCACTCCCAAATACAAGGAGAGTTCTTCATTCGGCTTAGGACTTTGGAGAAGCAGCGGTGATGTTAGAAATCCCTTCGAATTTTAGAAGGTTTGCTGGCACTGATTCGTCCCCTCGAAGCATTTGACCTTCAAGTGCCTTGAAGAACATTGAGCACTTATCACTCGACCTCTAAGTGAGCTGGCTGAGGGCTGTGATTTGGCTTGTCAACTTCTGCGCCTCTTAGGTATTTCTAGTGGACGACATATCAATCAAAGCTTGATTTTGTCTGGGTTGGCTTTTATGGCTTTAGGAGTCAATAAATAACACAAGAAGTTGTCAGTTGAGGCTTCGAATGTGCATTTTAGAGGATTTAGCTTCATGTTATATTTTTTAAGAGTTTGGAATGCTTCTTTTAAATATTTTATATTTTGTTCAGCCATCAAGATTTTCACTAGGACATCATCTACGTAGACTTCAATATTGTTTCATTTTTTATAAGCCAAACTTACATCCAACAAGGTCTGCTACGTCGCCTCAATGTTTTTAAGCCCAAAAATATTACATTATAACAAAAAATACCTTTGGTAGTCATGAAAGTGGTCTTCTCAGCGTCGGTCATAGGCATCTTTATTTGGTGATATCCTGAGAAGGCATCCAAAAAACTTTACACGGAATAACTCACAGTTGAATCTACCAAGGCGTCGATCCTCAGTAGGGGGTAGCAATCATTTAGGCAAGCGGTGTTCGGGTTCATGAAATCTACACACATCTGTCACTTTCCATTAGCCTTCTAAACAATGACAACGTTTGAGGCCCACGTATGATACTACACCTCTCGGAAGTAGCCTGCTTCTCTCAGCTTCAGTACCTCTTTTATGATGGGCCCAGCCAGTGTGATGTTGTTGAGCTTCTTGTCTTCTGCTTTATCAGCTAGACGACATTACCACGTTCAATCGCTGGCAGGTGACATCGATCGGTATCCCCGACATCTCCACCCCGGACTAGGCGAAGACATCAAGAGTAATAACTCCACGGTTATATAAGATCTGTGATTTGATACATCCATCTTGAGAGTTGAGGCATGCTAAAAAAATCATAATAACCACTTATTCTTTTTGAGTATGTTGAATCTGGATATCAATACTGAATGACAATAGTATATTTAATTCTTCATAAACATGTTTAAAGTGCATGTGATGAGTATTAAGTGATTGATCCTGTCGTTCAGCTCGATAGAACTCCTTGCATACATCAGGAATTTGAAAAAATATTCTCTTCCAAAAAAATATAAATTTCAATTTCTCCATCAAATCTTTAACACAATCACAATGTGTAATATGACATGATTGATCAAATTTGATAGAATTCCTTATTTGTTTCAAAAGTTGGGAATCAACAGAAGTGCGACACCTCCCCTTACGGCAGCTGAAGCCGAAATGCTAATAGACGAAATCTGAGAAGGCGGAGCTAAAGATGATATGATGTAGAAAAACACGAAGCAGAGGAATTGCTTCCAGACATAGCAGAAGTTGAAGTCGAAGACAAGAGCAGACTATCAATGACGATCGTACAAGGCTCTGATACCATGTGACGGAAAACAACACTTTCTCTTATTCCTCAATTGAAAACATATGTTACATGTTTATATACATCTCTATCTTTATAAACTAGAAATATCTTTAATATAGAAAATATCTTCTAAACACTGTCATTGCCGGTCCAAAGCCCGGATGTGAAAAGTGGAGGGTTGTGTTAGGTAGTCGACAGCCAGCGTAAAATTTGTCAAAAAATTCATAATATGAATCCTTTTGATCATTGTGTAAGTGCTAGGGCGTCCCCTGGAAGCGACGCGCTGTGTAATCTGAATACAGTGAAAAGTGTGCAAGGGCCGCTATATCGATGCTCTGGTATAGTGTCAAATAAGCAAGAATTCTCACGTTACGGACGGATGCGGGTAAAGAAGTTAGCGTATGAAACTAATGTAATTAATATTACGATAGGATCTTGGAATATAAGTACTCACAATGGTAAATTAATGAAATTAGTTGATATTATGATTCATAAAAAGATTAATATCTTATGTATTCAAGTGGCTAAATGGGTTGGAGAAAAGGCTAAGAAAAAAATGATCTTAATTTATTAGAACTAAATGAAAATATGACACTAAATAGGACGCAATGAAGAAAAAGACGCAATGAAGAAAAAGGTTCATGTAGCCGACCTCAAGTAGTGGGATTAAGGCTCTGTTGTTGTTGTTGTTGTATAGAAAATATCCTCTAATAGATTACCTATTATATAAATTTCCTAATATACAACCTTTAGGTTTATTACTTTCCATAACGATAACAATGTTGTTCTTTGAGGGAACAAATGTTAGCCATATATTACAGTTAAATATTTATGTAAATATTTAAAAGTACTTATTTTAAAAAATAGGCATTATGAAATTAACCTCAACATTCATCACGTAATGGAAGCATGTATTAAAAATGGAGGGATAACTGAGAACTTTGCAGCAGCTTGCGTAAGGTAATTACAAACCCCATATCCATTCATTTAGCTAAATATAAAAGGGGAATTTACATATGTAGCACACAATTCTTTTATATTTACATATCGCACACCTAAAGTTTCATATTTACATACATAGCATTTGAGTAAAGTGTCAAAATAGTCTCCAACGATTTAAATGGGGCAATTTTAATCTAAGAGTTTATAGAAGTGTCAAATTAGTTCAAAAATTATTTAAATTGAGGCTAACATAGTTCCTATGGAGGACTATTAAAGCCCCAATTTAGTAAGTCTAGAGACCAATTTGACACTTCTATAAACTCTGAGACTGAAATGACCCCATGTAAATAGTCAAGGGATTATTTTGGTACTTTGCTCTAGAGCACTTTGATGCTTTAAACCTATGCATGTAAAGGTGTATTTCACTATTAAAAAATGATAATAGTGCTATTTTAATGTAATATTAATGATTTGAGTGCTACATGTTTAAATATGAAAATTTGGCTGTGAGATTTGTAAATACATAAAATTGTGTGCTGTGTATGTAAATGCACCAAAATAAAAAAATTCATTTCAGCTGAAAAGAGCGCTGAAAAGAGCGAATCAAAAGAGCAATTGAAAAATATATCATAAAGATACTTTTGTGGAAAATAACAACAAAGTGGTACTTACGAAGAGTTGCCCCTGCTAGAACTCAGCTCACCGGGTTCTTTCTTTTCAGCCTTCGAGCCTATTTCCGAATAAACAAACCATAAAAAACATGATCATAATGAATATCTACCAAGAGAGATTCTTCCAAATTAAAAAGTTATTAAACAAAACTATAACTTTTTAACAATATGGATGCTGTTACCATCTGTCGAAGAATCGGGCACGTATCTGGCCAATCGGTATTTCTACGTGAATAAAAAAAGAAGGCTAAGAAAAATAACAAGGGGCATTTAAATAAATACCAGCCAATTCATATGCATTCCCATATCTAACATCTAAATTTTATTTTTTTACATTTACGCCACCTAAATCTTTTATATAACATAAAAAATACTACTATTTTGACTTCTAAGAAGTGAACATGTTTTCATGCATAGATAAAGTGCTATAAATGTAAAAATTGAAGTTTATATGTTCGATATGCAAATACATATGAAATGAGTGGTCTGTATGTAAATCTTCCAAATAAAAATAATTTTAAAACTGGCTATGTGAAAGCTTGAAATCTCTGTACCTGCAGGTGGCTCTTCACATGGTATATGGTCAATCCCGGCACGCCCATTACTCTAAGAACACCTTTAGGAGTGGCTCCTGTTGAAAAAGAAGGTATCTCATACAGCTAAAAAATCGTTCAAAATATGAATAAAAATCTAACTCAACAGTAGAGATATTTATATCGACATTAACAAAACAAAACATGCAACACAAGATTGGATATAATGCTTATTTTATTTATTTATGTTTATTTCTTCTATAAGGTTCAAAGGAGTGAAGCTAAAACATCATTTATGGCTGAGCTAAACCAAAGATTAGTCTTTTATCATTTAAGTCTACAAAAAGAATATTATTTTATAAACATGAGAAATATGGAGACATAGAAACCAGATCAAGCACCGAAAAAAAAAATACTTCACCCTTAGTCTGATCTCATCAATTATGCAAGAATTATGTTTTATGAATTTGTATTTTAATTAGTGTAAATATGGATCGAAGTAGGCAATCTTAGCAAAAACCAAGAAAACCAGGCCTTCAAATATAAGAAAAACACGGAGGGCATACAGCGCTCACTGCCCCTAAAGTTCTACTAAGCTCTTTAGTAGCAATATAGTACACTAAAAATAGAGCCTCTAAATTTAAATACTTAAAGAATAATTTAATATTAATTATATTTTTTTTATTTAATAATAATAGTTTTGAAAATTTTGAGAGAAAATTTTTAAACTTAAATACTCATCATCCTTGCCCTTAAATTATTGTCCCGTCACTGGTTTATAACATCCTCTCGAACTCGAGAAGCCCAAAATAAAGTAAAACATATATTACAATTGAATAGTAAAAAGTAATTCACAAAGCACTTTACCCTCTATGCCTCAAGAAAATTGTTAGTAAGAAAGTAATTCCCAAAACATTTTACCCTATCTACCAAAAGAAAAAATTTTTCAGAAAATATCGTAATGTCATACATATTACTAAACAGACATCTTGTCACATAAATGGCTGGCTATGAGCCTACTAAATGAACATCTTCAAATTTCTTCTTTCCCAGAAGAGCAAAAGAGAAAAAAATCCTGGAAAATTAAAATTTAACAACAAATTGGAAAATCTAATTGCCAAAAATTAAACTTTTATTTATAACTCGAATTTCATTAAAGTTCATGCTACTTCAGGCAGCTAAAAAGAAGAATTTCTCACTGTCTGGTCCACCAAGTTGTGCCACAGAATCCACAAAACGCTCATGAAGTTCATGCGTCCATCTTAAACGCTGCCTTGAAGCCAAGCTCGGATTAGCAGGACTTTTCACGGAGCGAATTGTGTCCATGGCGTTGCCGTTCAATTCTAATTGCCGATCAAGAGAAATTGCATCATTGTAGGCTGAAGGCAAACTAGGAATAGAATCTGATTGATACATGTCGCATTACCTGATATAATATAGGTGGATTGGATCAGCTGGGCATTAGCAACATGAAATATTGCAAGAGAAAAGGAAATACTATAAAATTGATACTAACTGCTTAATCTATAAATATGGTTAAAATGAATAATTTTCACTAAAATATGATATCATTGAGTGAGGGTTAGTGGCCACTTGAAAGGCTTCCCACTCCTTGAAGGCATTTCACATGGATGGGCACTAAGATTACAGCATAAAATTGAATGCAAATAAAAAGAATAGAAATTTTACAAACACACCGCTCAATTCCTATTTATTTACATATCTAACACCTAAAATTTAACTTTTACATAAAATCCACCTTACAACCGCTCAATTCCTATTTATTTACATATCTAACACCTGAAATTTAACTTTTACATAAAATCCACCTTACATATGCATGAAAAGATGTACTTCACTTTTTAAAAGTTAAAATGGTGGTATTTTTATGTAATATGAAAGATTTGGGTGATATAAATATAAAAAGCAATTTTTTTGAGTCAGCTTTTTTGTGTCAGCTAAGTAAATACATAGGAATTGGGCGGTATGTATGTAAAATTTAATCCAATGAAAGGATTTCAACTGACAAAAAGAAAGAGAAATAATTATTTCTAAATTTTACATCAGTGTTCATTTTTCATTAGCCTACAATGGAAATGGAGGAATGCATTCGCGTTACCAGCACATCACTTGCACTAAAATTATATTTCAAAAAATAAATAAAATTTCATTACAAGAAAAGGAAAATAAAGTTCTAAAATGTTA